AGAGCAAATGGTCCGGTTTCCTTTTTTGTAAACCGGTACAACATCCGCTAAATTCCAGTCGGATGGAATGGACTCAGTAGTCCAAATCTGTTGGAATAGAGATGCCAGTTCGCGAGTGAGAGCTGGACCTCCATATTTTAAGAGGGCAGGAGGAAGTTCATCTGGGCCAGGTAGCTTGTGGCACTTTAGTAGGCGAAGCTCATTGGAAACCTTAGCCTCTGTCGGTAGAGAAACATCCACGCACCAGCGAACACTGTGAACCCCGGAAGATAGACTCGGTTGCGCTGCTGGCCAGTTAAATTGATCTTCAAAATGCTCTGCCCATTATATCAGACGACCATGACGACTGTGAATTAGTTCACCGTCATTTTCACGCAAAACCTCACTCACTATTGGTCTTTTGCCTCCCATGGAGCGAATAAGTTGGGAGAGTTTGCCAGAGTTTCCTGATGAGGCTGCCTGCTCCATCTCAACGACGCGCTGTGTCCACCAAACCTCGCGACCCTTCCTGAGGAGCTGTCTGAGTTCAGCACCTGTGATTCTGCGTACTGCATTTTACTCAACTCCGGCGAGAATTGTTCTACGACTTTCCATTAATTCGAGAGACTGTGCGGAGATCTAATGATTAACAGCTCGTCTAGTGAAGCCACAGACCAGGGTAGCGGGCTTTCGTAAAGCGCTCTGGATTTGTACCGAATGTGTCTCAACATCAGAGAATACAGAACGTAGATTGGAGGCTGATGTGTTTTGAAGTGCGCCGAGAACATTTGGAATGGCGAGCTTGTCTGTGTCAAACTGTTTCTGGTAACGCTGTTGGGTTCCTCCAAAACGCGAGGGGCATGATCCGAAGTCAGGTAAGTGTTCCATATTGACATACAGTCCGTTATGCAGCCACACCAACGGTAACTAACAGCGATGTGGTCAATTTGCTTCCAAAATTGACCAGGCGCCGGAGGTCGCCAGGTGGCTCGTTGGCGCCAAGAATGTCGGAAATTGGTGCTGGTGAGGAACAAGCCGTGGTCGGCGCACAGTTGCAGGAGTCGATCGCCGTTGTCCGTCCTGCGAGTACCGTGGCTTTGTTGACCCCCAAGTTCGCGCGCCGGGGGTGCCGATGGTTGAAGAGGAGAGGTGTCCAAGCGATGACTTGGTCATTTAGAATCTACACCCTTAGTTCTAAGTTGGCCTCGGTTGGAGTGTCTCGGCTCCCTACTTGAGTTCCGAAGGATGTTGCACACGTTTGGCTCTATCCACTTCTTGATATGGCTAGGAGCCGACCTCATTGGTGTATCTGCTGTGTGTTCCTTTGTCCCTCCTGCTTAGCTTCACCCTCTAACCACCATCTCATTTTTAGGAATAATGTAAGTCATTTTTTTATAGACACTACCCGGCTGTTAGCTGGTGGCTCAACCGGCATGCCTGTTTCATGTTCTTTTTATGTATTGTGGCGCAGTAGCTGTATTTTCCACCTGCGGCTAACGTGTATAACGATGATAATGAAGGGCATTCTGAAATGGGTGTCCAACTTACCCATTTTTGTTCAACTTCGCCGCGGACTTCATCATGAAGTGTTCCCATGCGGAGTCTCACGATGCAAACACTGAGGTACCACGTCGGGAAAACTAGTTGATCTTGATTATGCCGATTATTTTGCCTTGCTTTCTAACTATATTCAGGTGGTTCAGTAAATGTTGGGTAACCTTTAGAGAGGTCTCATGCTTTGTCGTTTTCTTAACTTTAGAGTGCAGCGTTGTTTCCGGACCTCCAGCCACTTGGGGATCGCTTAACCTTTGATAACGATAATCTGGCGGTAATTACTTTACCTGTCCACTTGCGTTGGCAGCTACATAAGCATTAAGTTAGTTTATCTGTTGCAAAAGTTAGACATGCCTTCTTGAATCTGCGACCTCTATGGCATCAAAGGTAGGTTTTTCTCCGTCTTAAAGGCCGTAGGTGCAAGGCCACATTAAGGGCTTTGGGAGTGAGACTTGATCCCTTCGGTCGGAAGATCTGAGGCGTCTTCAAGTCTGACTAACACTGATTGCGGAGCATTGCTGTTGTCGGATGGCATTGGCATGTCCACAACGAAGATGTCCGCGTGTGATTGCTATCCACTCATAATCAGGCCAGTTCCCTGGAACAACAACTAACACCTAATAAGCAACATTGGCTTCCGTACGTTCTACGCATGCCTGATCACTGCTTGGTGAGGGAAGCTTTGTTTTGTTCGCCGGATGTTGGCTGGCGCCATCCTCAAAGTTGGCAAAGGTTAACTTGGCCAAAAAACTGAGTGGTGTTAGCCCGTCTCGTCTTTACGGCTGAAATTCACGTGACTTGCCTTGTGCCTGACTCGAGACATTGCAGTATGCGACTCGCAGTCGGCATCAATGGCGCGTTTACTATTGTACCCAAGTCTGACTATTTATTTAGTGTGTCTGATGCTGTTATCTGTTGGGTAATGGTTGATTATGACACAGAGCATTGGAAGTCGCAGGAAACCTGTTTCGCAAATGCTGCCTTTGCACGATAGCCAGCTGCTTATAACTGTATGTTGCTGACAATCTGTGAGCTCCTTGGCTCTGTGCGTTTGCTTAGAGGCTTTAGGGTTTACACTAAGTCCCTTTCTCTCCCTGGGTCACTGATTGTGCGGCAGCTCAAATATCTGATGCACTTCTGTTGCTATTTATGATGGTAAAGTTGCGCACCACTTCGACGATATTTTGAAAACCCTTATTTGCGTAGAATCGCTGCTTGGTTTTTGACTAATGGTCGTGTCCATTCAGGGGGTGTGGAGGGCGACAGGTGCTGGGGCGGGTATGTGCCCTGGGGTGGTCGTGGGTATGGCGGTAAGTCGTGTGCACTTTCTAAAGTAATTACAATTCGAGGCTGTATCAAGACGAAGAGCGGTGTGTGATAGTTTCAGGTGGTCATTTGTTGATGTGGTGTGGGGAGTGAAAGGGTGCAGTTAGGGGGGTGGGGGTTATGGAGGTGGGAGCTGGGGTGGTTAGGTCGTCTGCAAACAGATAGTAGCGACTGTGGGCTGGGAGATGTTGGGGCTCAGGTGAGCGGGGGAGTGGAGATGCGGTGATGGGGGGGGTGGGATTGGGGGGAGTGAGGGTTTGTGTTATTGGGGGTATGTGATTGTTTAGTTTGTTGTTTTTTTGTTTTTTTTTTTTGTTTTTTTTTTTTTTTTTTTTTTTTTTTTTTTTTTTTTTTTTTTTTTTTTTTTTTTTTTTTTTTTTTTTTTTTTTTTTTTTTTTTTTTTTTTTTTTTTTTTTTTTTTTTTTTTTTTTTGTTTTTTTTTTTTGTTTTTTTTTTTTTTGTTTGTTTTTTTTTTTTTTTTTTTTTTTTTTTTTTTTTTTTTTTTTTTTTTTTTTTTTTTTTTTTTTTGTTTTTTTTTTTTTTTTTTTTTTGTTTTTTTTTTTTTTTTTTTTTTTTTTTTTTTTTTTTTTTTTTGTTTTTTTTTTTTTTTGTTTTTTTTTTTTTTTTTTATTTTTGTTTTTGTTTTTTTTTTTTTTTTTTTTTTTTTTTTTTTTTTCTTTTTTTTTTTTTTTTTTTTTTTTTTTTTTTTTTTTTTTTGTTTTTTTTTTTTTTTTTTTTTTTTTTTTTTTTTTGTTTTTTTTTTTTTTTTTTTTTTTTTTTTTTTTTTTTTTTTTTTTTTTTTTTTTTTTTTTTTTTTTTTTTTTTTTTTTTTTTTTGTCTTTCTTTTTTTTTTTTTTTTTTTTTTTTTTTTTTTTTTTTTTTTTTTTTTTTTTTTTTTTTTTTTTTTTTTTTTTTTTTTTTTGTTTTTTTTTTTTTTTTTTTTTTTTTTTTTTTTTTTTTGTTTTTTTTTTTTTTTTTTTTTTTTTTTTTTTTTTTTTTTTTTTTTTTTTTTTTTTTTTTTTTTTTTTTTTTTTTTTTTTTTTTTTTTTTTTTTTTTTTTTTTTTTTTTTTTTTTTTTTTTTTTTTTTTTTTTTTTTTTTTTTTTTTTTTTTTTTTTTTTTTTTTTTTTTTTTTTTTTTTTTTTTTTTTTTTTTTTTTTTTTTTTTTTTTTTTTTTTTTTTTTTTTTTTTTTTTTTTTTTTTTTTTTTTTTTTTTTTTTTTTTTTTTTTTTTTTTTTTTTTTTTTTTTTTTTTTTTTTTTTTTTTTTTTTTTTTTTTTTTTTTTTTTTTTTTTTTTTTTTTTTTTTTTTTTTTTTTTTTTTTTTTTTTTTTTTTTTTTTTTTTTTTTTTTTTTTTTTTTTTTTTTTTTTTTTTTTTTTTTTTTTTTTTTTTTTTTTTTTTTTTTTTTTTTTTTTTTTTTTTTTTTTTTTTTTTTTTTTTTTTTTTTTTTTTTTTTTTTTTTTTTTTTTTTTTTTTTTTTTTTGTTTTTTTTTTTTTTTTTTTTTTTTTTTTTTTTTTTTTTTTTTTTTTTTTTTTTTTTTTTTTTTTTTTTTTTTTTTTTTTTTTTTTTTTTTTTTTTTTTTTTTTTTTTTTTTTTTTTTTTTTTTTTTTTTTTTTTTTTTTTTTTTTTTTTTTTTTTTTTCCCTTA